GCCCATATTCAGAATACCAGAATGACAGGCACTCCGAACATGAAACTACTATTACAAATTACCATCTGCAGTGCAGTAGCTTAGTTCACAGGTATCAGTATATATCAACTGTGCAACTTCTGACAGTAAGATTTCTGTTGTTCCTGTTAACTTTCTTTTGATTATTTTGTTCTTTAGTAAATTTACACATGATGCAAGGAGATAAGTACGTTAGATAACTGTTCATTCATGGTAATTCTTTCTCACATTTATATTCATTCATAATCCTTCAATAAATTATTCATATAAATATCATTTTTGTTTTATTTGTACTATTATTTATTAAAATTCAGGACATAGCTCCATTATAAGTTAGGACCATTAAAATCATTATCTAAATCTTAACAGGACTGCCAAGACCGATATTCAAGCAATGCTTGTGTTTTTTGTTTCTGTTCTTTTGAAGTTAAATTCTGGTACCATATTGCTATGAGCACAAAAAGCAAAACACAACAGGAAGAAGAACACAGAGACACCCATGGGCACACTGTACTGAAACCCTCTGGCTGTTCCGGGTGTTTCATACTCACTGGTTGCTGTTGGTGCAGTGAAGGTACACGCGGAGCTTGCCGTGGTCAGGGCCTTTCACGCGTGCCATGAACACAGTGGTGCCCACCAACTGCTTGAACAGAAGAGACAGCCAGTAATCCTGGTGTGGTGGTTGGGAAAGAGGGACAAAAGGAGACCATTGCTTATTTTCTTATTCTGATTTTAACAAAACCAACAGAAGACAAACAATTATTCTACAAAGAGGATAACTGTTACTCTAAGGGTATTTAAAGAGATTTTTTGGGGAATGCTGTGACCACCGTGAACTTGAGGGCAGCATCTTGTTCGCTGCTCCCTTCTATCACTGGAGTTTTCTGTTTCCATGCTGCAGAGGGCCACTGCAGTAGAAGGCATGTTTCAAGAATGCAACCCCCAGAATGTTTGCATAGTCTTGGGGAGCTTTCACCCAAGGATCCAAAGCAGAGCTCAAAGGACACCTCAGACACACAACTCAGTGCATACATACATAATGACACAGTTTTTAAATTAATCTTTTTCATTTAATAAACAACTAATTTCCTCTAAGACCTTCTAGTCCTCCTCATAAAGTAACGGGTCAGGCAATCATCATCACAAGCTGTCAAGATAAAGACAGACGTTATGTGCTTCCTGACAGAAGAACACAACACCATTTGTGACGAATTTTTGTCAAAATTAAACATTTTTAATAAGCTCAAGCCCCAACTTTCCAAGAAACATGGGAAACAGAAGAACATATCAAATAACATGCTATGAATAAATTTAGCAAAACCTGGAACATGGGAAATCCCATGGAACAAATTACCCAATTTCTTTCATTAATAAAGTATAAGGAATAAAAGAGAGGTAAGAGAATTTAAACAGGTTATCCTAGCACTCTGTGAGGCTGAGGCAGGTGGATCACAAGTTTAGCCTTGATAACATAGTAACTTAGAGAATGCTATCTCAAAGGAGAAAAAAAGGAAAAGAAAAAAAAAAGACTGGGGATAGGGACATAGCTCAGTATGAAGGCAATGGTTCAATCCCTTATAACACATACACACCCCACAGATTTAAGAGATATATCAACCAAATGTAATATGTAAGTTTTTGGATTTTGATTTGAATAAATAATAATAATGATATTTTAGATAACAAGGAAATGTGAAACAAGCCTAAATATAGTCAAGTAATTCTTATTGAAAACAGATATCCTGCCAGGGACCATAGCTCAGCAGCATAAGCACCTGCCTGGCAAGTGCAAGATCCTGAGTTCGATTTCCAGTACAAACAAACAACAGATATCCTCAAGTGCCATTTTACATAATAAAAATCAGGGTCTTTTTATTGGTTCCATCTTAATTTTTAGATATACATATTTTTAAGATAGAATTTTGGATAAAAGACTACATTTAGTGCTTGTACCACATCATGTTAGAGATAGGTAGAATGAGATTTTATTTATAAATACTTTGAATAGTATTAACAATAAAATCAATTCTTAGGAAGAATTTTTGAAAATAAATATACAGATAATGACTTGTTTGTTTGTTTTTTGCGACAAGATCATGCTATGTAGTTCAGTCTGGGCTGGGCTTGAACTCACTACGTAGCCCAGGCTGGCCCTGAACTCATGGTAACCCTCTTGCTTCAGCCTCCCAAATGCTAGGATTACAGGTGTGTGCCACCATACTGAGCTAGTACTGGCTTTTTATAAAATTAAATAAATTATGAATTCATTACATAGACATGGAGCTTTGGATACGCTAGCAATTTTAACTTCAATTCGCTTCATAAAACATTTCTGATTGGAGATTGTTATTTTGTGAAATGAGCCATAAAATTCCAAATTACCCCTTTTTGAAAAATACCAATACCATTCTGCAAATGATGTTACTAAATTACTTCCAGCTTATGATTTCTTGACACACACACATATCCAACTGGATGGTCTCTAGGGTTTCTTCCAACTTATCATTCTGTGGCTGGGCTATTTGTGGGCAGGACTGACTGTTCAATGGAGTTAGAACCATGGACCCCCCCCCCCCCCACATCTTCTGTCTACTTGTAGAAATAGAAAAATAGTGGTCACTTACAGGTAGAGGTCTGAAGTTTTGATCCACTAAGTGGTAGTTGCCGGCACCAAAGAGCGCCTGTCTCATTACCACGTCGATGCCCATCTGGGCTGACAGGCCCAGTTTATCCAGCCACCTGGGACAGAGCGACACCCAGCTTTCTTCAGGTTTGAAAATGCAAAGCGCGCCACGCTACTTACATGCTATTCTGCCTTGCTCATCTACAGAAACCCAGAAGCATGGCATTAATCATACCTACGCCATGCAGCAAAACAGCCACTAAGTGTGGCAGCAGATGCTTCATACTGTCCCACACCTGAGCTTGACCACAAAGCTGACGACTGTCCCGTTCAGGCCAACGGGACTTCTACAAAGCACAACAGACAAATTCCCAGCTCCATAGACAAGTTCTCACCCTGCAGGCCACTCTGACACATGCACTGTGTGAGATCCAAAGAGAAGACTGCAGTCATCAGTGGGCAAAATACGAAATCAGCAGAGCCCCCAAGTAAGGCGCTCCTGATGCTTCTGCGCATCTCACCTGCCACCGACTCGTCAGTTAATGGCAAAACAATGTCCCTGTTCTCACTATCCTCATGCTCTCTTGAGCATAAAGGATCCATGATTTATTCTAAATTGGTGTCAGCAAGCGTGCGGAGAAGGAAAGAACAAGGACGGGTGAGGGCAGGGGACAAAAATCTCAGGGTGGAGATGCAGCACTCCCCATCAAGACATCAGGACAGTCGTGTGTTCAGTATAAGCAGGCTGCAGTAGAAACAGCCAAGCTTGGTGTCCCACACTGAGGTGACAGTAGATGTCTCAATTTTTTTGTGTGTCCCTCTGGTGTGACTTCAGATGTGGGGTTCTAATCTCAGGAATGGTGCACGCAGTGAGTATGGTTCTCAGGACCACAGTGCTAGGTGCATTCTTTTACAACGAACTTTTGTCAGAGGAAAGATGCCGCGGCATGTTCAGGGGTTCTAATGAGGACCAGAGATGTCTAAACCAACTCTTATTATTATTATTATTTTTGTGGAGCCAGGGATTGAACTCAGATCCTTGCGCTTGCCAGAGAAGCACTTATTCTACTGAGCCATCTCCCTGGCCCCAAATCTTGGTGTTTATTTTTTATTTTTTATTTTTGCAGAACTGGGGATTGAACTATTGAACTCAGACCCTTGCGCTTGCCAGGGAAGCACTTTTTTTTATTCCACTGAGCTATCTCCCCAGCCCCAATCAGCTCTTATTACAATGATTCACTTGTGACACCTGTTAATGATGTCCAACAAGCTTTACCCAGCCATTTTCTTGCACATTCCACCCTGATTTGGAGGGATCGCCACAAAAGCTGCCTTTGACCTTGTTTTTGGCTAGTGTTAGTGAAAAGAGTCCCTGAGCCAGTGGGGTTCACTCACATGAAGCCAGCTGCAAAGGTATTGGACAGCAGGGGAGCCCCACCTCCGTATGCAGAGCTTGTCTCTCCCAGCCAGACCTTCTTGCCAGGTGTGGTCTTCTCCACCACCTAGGAATACAAAGGTCACCATGATAACCGCAAATAAGCTGACCAACCATGGTGCTGAAGGTCCATAGTATTCAAAACCTGAATCACTACACCCATCTGTCCAATCAAGCATGTCCACAGTCACTTAGGTCTTGGAAATTATCTTTCTTTGGGATATCAGGGATTTGAAGGAATATAAACTCATTATTATGATCTGTAACTAGTTCTACTAAAAGGCTATTGGACTTATTTTTAATTTCTAATCAGTGTACCTGGGTAAGAACCAATGCTGATAAAGAAACTAGAGGTATAGAAGACACAGTGGTTGGTCTCTAAAGTTAGAAAAGCATGCCAATGGACATATATAGACTTTAGAAGTAACTAGACTATAAAAAATAAGAATTTTGGGCTTATATGTAAAAAAATTAAAACTATTACCTTTAAAATTCTTTTCACTGATACAGTGAAAGTGTCCAGCACATCAGGATTTAGAAAATCTTCCTTAGTAGCAAGGCGTCCATTCAAATAGTAGCTAAATTAGAAAATATTCATAAAAATAAACTGGTTTACTTCTGCTTTTAAATCCATTTCAACCTTGTTCTCCTTCCTACTTATCTCTTCTCCTCTTTATTGTAAAACAAAAGGGCAGAAGCTCTCGCAAGGAGGCACTGATGGCAGGGCACATGAGGAAGGAGCCATTTCTCTAAATAACTAGAAACTGGCCACAGCTCCTGGGTCACCACTCCCTCTTTGGCAAGCAATTGGTCATAGTGACTTTTATATACCATGAGTTAATTGGTAGTGTCCCTTGATCTTAATATGAATATGTTACTAAAATATAACATTAAATTTTTGTTTTATTCATATAAAATTCTAGCACAATGATGCTTGAAATATTTGTTCCTGTTTGAACTATAAAGCCAATTAGCAGTTGAGTGGAGATAAGTTTTGAGACTTTAGTGGTGAATAAAATTAGCCTTACATTCCTCATAGTAGGAGTAAGAGACACTTACTGGTGCCAGGTAACCGAATCTATCACCTCTCCACCAGCCTGCAGAAAGCTGGAATGAAAATACCACTATGTTAGCAAGTAGTCCTCCTACATATGCATGATAGTTGCTCAAGAGTTTGATTCCCCAGAAATGACTGGTTACTATATTAAGCTCAAGTGTTAACTTCCTAATTCTGATAACAGATTTCCCCATCCATGCCATTTGTCCCTACACCCTTGGTCGTCTGAGTTAATGAATCTGCTTTTGGCAAACCGTGTAGTCAGGTGGCCAGCTCTTCAACAACATGTGGGCTGTTGTGAATTTTCCACTAGAGAGGAACATTTATTTTTAAGAAAAATGGCTCTGTAATCCAGCACTCAGGAGGTTGAGGCAGGAGAATCTCCTAGAGTTTGAGGCAGCCTGAACTACAAAGTGAGACCCCTCTGCCTCAAAGGAAGAAAGAAAGAAAAGAAAGAAGAAGGCAAGAAAGAAGACCAGTCCTGCTGCCTCTAGTTCTTACCTCTGCAGCATCTTAACTGTCTTTCTTCGAGGCTGACTAATATCAGGACCATAGAGTTTTGCATTTTTGAAAGTGGAATTTTGTAGAAGTTTATGCAACTTAACAAAATCTTTTCCTAACTGCCATCCATCAATGAAAATACCAGCCTTCTTCTCGTAACTGTTAGGTTCTGAAACACAGCAATTCTCCTCTTAATCGCTTACCTTTTAAAAAAATAATATATGAAAGCAAACATACTATAGCATATAAATATGACAAGACATTTTCCACATCAAATGCAACTAGAAACTGTAATATTAACCTCCTGAACAAACTTTTCAAAAAGACTCAAATACTAAAAAGGTACATAGCATAATTTAACTTCTGAAAACATTTAGGTATATAGATAATTTCACTTTGCAGTGGTTCTTGTGTAAAAGTGGTTGTCTACCACTATTTGAGGGAATCAATCATTGTAAAAACTAAAATTAAGAACCAATAAGCTCTAGTGGAATGTTTAAATTCTTCTCTATAAAAGCATTTTCTCTCTTTTATTTGTTCTTTCCTCATCCAACTGATATACCTCATTAAAAATTTTTTAAGATCAAATTAAAAGATGATATGTTGTTGTTATCATTTATTTAATGGCCTATTAAAAAATCTAGATTCAAAACAAATGAAGTCATGGAACTCAAAGTGAAGAAAGATCAAACCCTTGGTTACAAAGAACTTATTCCAGAAAAAGAAAAATTTTAATTATATAACTGAGGTGAAGAGGGTATTAAACAATTTGACATTAATAATGGGGATATTAAACCAACATATATCCTACGTTCAGTTTCTGATTTATTTTATTATTATTATTTTTTTTGGCGGAGCCAGGGATTGAATTCAGGCCCTTGAGCTTGCCAGGGAAGCACTTATTCCACTAAGCCATCTCCCCGGCCCCCTCTATTTTATTTTTGTTTACTTTGTTACAGCCCTTAGGATTAAACCCAGGGCCCTTGTACCCAGAGGAGTTATTCCCAGTCTTTTTTTTTTTCCATAATTTTGTTGAGAAACAAATAGCAATGAGACAGTTTCAAATCAAATCGGTAGGGCAGTTTCAATAATTAACACATTGCATACATTCTTCCTAGTGGTTAATTGCTGTATAAGATGCGGACATGATATCCTATTTACAAACACCATTAGAACAAATCCTTCTATTCATTAAGAGAATGTAACTATATATCTATCCCAACCACTTTGAATACACAGATACAAAATGGACATTCATCTGTATACCCTTTTTTGTTTAGTTCCATTATTTGAATATTATAGGTGTGTAAACTCAGCAAAATATTCTAAGAGTCCAGTAGCCCATAATAGTATTGGGTCTTCCACTTGACTGGCAATGTCAGAAACTCTTGACCCGAGTCCCCTACAGCTCAACATAACACCATGGCTTTACTTCTTATATTTCGTTTTTATACTTTTCTGCTGGATGGTTAAGACCAAGGTAAAGCAGGACCTATGCAACAAGAGTTGTAGCTTTTGGGTCTGATAAGGTCAGTGAAATCCCCTCAGGATTTATCCCAGTCTTTTTTCCCAAGTCCTTTTTAATTCTTTTTTTCTTTTTTAAAATATATTTAGCACAGGGTCTCACTGCACAGATGGGACTCCTAGTGATCCTCCTGTTTACAGCCTCCCAAGTGGTGCGATTATAGGTGTACACCACCATGCCCAGTCTCAATCGCCATCTCAGTGCGCCCCAGGGGTGGGGCCAGCATGGCAAGCCCAGGGATTGAACCAGGTACTAAAGCAGGTGCTTTAGTCTGTTGAGCTATTTGGCCAGTCCTCCTTTGTAATTCTTTGATTTTGAAGTAGGCTACATCTCCATCTCACCCCCACTCCCTTTTTTTAATTTAGACACAGTCCTGCTAAGTTGCTAGATGTCAAGGGTAGACTCAAACATGTGATCCTCCTGCCTCAGACTTCCAGAGTGCTTGGATTACAAGTGTGCCACCACACTTGATTATATTCAATAACCTAGTTTACTTTTTTAAAAGGTTGAGTGGTCAAGACATTTAAGGCTCAGAACAGTAACGGGCATGCAGCATGTGCTCACCTCATCATTACATTTCATTTTCCATTTTATATTGTTTCATTGGCTGATAGAGTACTATAAAAATATTTTGAATGTGGAAAGTCGTTAATACATTAGTTGGAATTTGTAAGTAAGTACCCTGCCAAGAAAGAGTGATGAAAGAGATACTCAGGAGCTTGACCTAGGCAAGATTCTACATTGGCAACTTCTGGCTAGCATGAGCATTTAATGAACATTGTGATAGGATTGCTAAGGTTGACTGAGAGTTGAGAAACAGGGAAAGGAAAGGAAAGGAAAGGAAGAGCAAAGCAACGTACGTGGCTTGCATTTGCTGAGGCCAGCCTGCCAAGCACAAGAGGTATAAGAGACTCTGAGAATCTCAAGGGAACCTGAGTGCTGGGGAGATTGCTGACTGTGATAGCTTTCTCCAGCTCAAATATAACAACAGGGGTTAGCAATAGGTCACAGAATATACTAAGGCATGCCAGTCTTGCTCACAGGGCATGCTGAGATGGTAATTGAGGCTGGGCGTGGTGGCGCACACCTGTAACCCCACTCTTGGGAGGCTGAAAACAGGTGAATCACTATGAGTCTGATTTAGTAGTGAGACCCTGAACACCCTGTAGACTCTTCCCTAAAATACAAAGAGAGAGAGAGAGAGAGAGAGAGAGAGAGAGAGAGAGAGAGAGAGAGACTATACTAAGGCATTTTCTCTCATAGGCAGTTCCAAAAGTTGTGTTGTCAAGCATTTGCAAGGATGTGCCTAGACTGAAGTATATTTGCTAATAGTACACACACACACACACACACACACACACACACACACGAACAAATAATGCCAGTGGAGAATCTCCTTATTATGGAAATGTTCCTTGGGTACCTACCATTGCCTAGTTCCCAAGACATGTCATACCCCTTGGAAGAGCAGTAGTCCAGAAGCAACTGGGCATTAGAACTGTCCCACTGTGAATCTGCTGTTCTTAGCAACTCATTCAGACCAAAGATCAGGTCCAGTCCTGAACAATTTGCAAAAGAGTACAGCATATCCACGGAGTTTCCTGCAAGAAACATGCCACATTCAATGTCAGGTCAGCAGCACTAAGACATGGCTGTGGATTGGCTTTTCATGGTGTATTACTATTTCTGCTGTTAAATCAAAGGAATTCCAGACCTAATGAGTGAGCCTAAGCCTGTCTAAGTGACAACAAAAAAATTTTTTTTAGTTCTTTTATTTGTTTTTGTTTTTGCAGTGCTGGGGGATTGAACCCAGGGCCCTAAGCATGGAAGGCAAATGTTCTGCCCCTTAGTTACACCTCCAGCCCCCCAAATTTTTTTTTAATTTTATTGAGAAACAAATAGCAATGAGACAGTTTCAAAACCGATTAATAGGACATTTTCAATAATTAATACATTGCATATTGTTGTCTTTGTAGTGGTTATTCATAGTACAAGATGCAGACTTGATATCCTGTCCAAACACTATTAGTACAAATCTTTCTTCTTGTGACAACAAAACTGAGCAGGTAAATTAAAGAAAAAAATCTGTTGGGAGCTGGGGAAGCTAGGAAATATATCAAATGTGTGCAGGTAGGACTAGGCTTCAGTGCCTAAAGTAAATAAGCTTTCTCAGCCCTGAGAAAAACATCCAATCTGGTTAAGGTCAGTGATTAGTCACTAGGCAACCTTGTGTCACGTGTTACTAACTTTACTAAGGAATAAATAAACATTGGTTTTGTTGTGGGGTTGTGATGGTCTTGCCTACCAGGCAGACCAGTGACCTCCTAGCCCAGCTTTTGTCTTTCTGTCTGTCTTTTCCCATTCCTGCTGCCGTTTCTCTCCAGGTAAAAATGATCCAACTGAGACCAAAAGAGTCTTACAAAAATCCATCTGCCTTCATCACTTCAGTTGTTGGAGGTCTCGTGGAAGGCTCCAGAAGCTCTGGATCAACACTTGGGTCTTGTTTAAATGATCACAGGTAAAGAGAAAACCACAATCTGCCTAAGCCAGCCTGTGAGTATAGCAGAAAGCCTTCACTTTTCATAACCTAAATCTTTCTGTTTACAACTCATTGACAAATATTTGGTTAATTTGAATTATATTTAAAACAACTTAAAAGTCCTAGATATGTTTTATTTAAAACAAATAAAACGGGGCTGGGGAGATGGCTCAATGGACTAAGCGCTTCCCTGACAAGCGCAAGGGCCTGAGTTCAATCCCCGGTTCCGCCAAAATAAATAAATAAATAAATAAATAAATAAATAAATAAATAAATAAATAAAAAATAAAACTTTACATTAAAGAATCATCTCTAGGCCTGTATCCCAAACTATGTTGTGGTTCCCAAACTACATTGCAAGCCACCATCCCAAACCACAGTGAATTCTCAGGTACAGCTGCTGGAGTTAGCAATAAAGGTCTATAAGACACACCTAGGTAAATCTGAACTTCAGATAACTCATGAACAGTTTTTTAAGAGTATGTCTTATGCAGGGCTTGGAAGATACTGGTAAAAACTAATTTTTGTTATCTACCTGAAAGTCAGATTGAACCAGGCCCCCTATAGTCACAGGATACTGTGGGGCATGGTGGTACACCTGTAATCCCACCACTTGGGAGGCTGAGGCAGGAGTATTGCTGAGTTTGAGGCTATCCTTGGCTAGTATAGAGACTAGAGTATAGAAGTATAGAGACTGAACTGCACAGCAAGAAATAAGTAAATAAAAATAAAAAATAAAATAAAAACCAGGGCACTGAAAGATTTTTTAAGTTTTCAAGGGGAAAACATCTGCTGGACATGACAGGAACTATCCCTATTGGTTCCTTTGACCCAGCACTTTAATCAGCAAATTCAGGTATTTCTTATAACCTAGGCATGCTATTAAGAAAAAAAAATTACAGAGGCACTAAGTGCCATAAGCGCCTGGAAAATTCTGTACTCTGCATTTTAGTTTATGTATAATTATTTTTTGAAAGTGGCAACAATATAATTTGAAGGATTGCCTATAAATCAATTATCATCTGTGTAAGAAGTCCTTGCGATCTGCACATATATTTTAGAGTAACTTGTTAAACAGAAATTACTCTTAATTCTTTCGAAGAAACCTCTGCCTATAAGGCAACCGTCTACAGCTTGCTCTGTGAAAGGGCTTTGCTTTTGTCTTGCTTCTCAGCCTGCAGCCTGGATCCTTTGGATGACCACATTGTGAAATTCAGTTGAAAGTGACTGATAAGGGACTGCTGGGCAGGAAGACACCAGTCAGGGCATGGAGACATTTGCTGTGCCACCTGGGGCTGGTCATCAGGAGTGACAGACACTTCAGGTCCCAGAAGCTCCAGGCCCCCATGGCCCCAGGTTCTGCTGGATCATAGAGCTGGCAACAGCAGGGGCCTTTGGAACACAGAGCCCACTCTAAGCTTCCCTTCCTCTCCTGCCCATGAAGAAACTGAGATGTAAACAAGGCCAATACTTCGCCCAACACCACACAGCTCTCTGGTGGCAGTGCCACAGGGTGACTCATGCACCCTACTGTAACAAGGCCACAGGCAGACATGCCATGAGCCATGCTATGCCCTGTGCTGGGCCACAATGTGGGTATTACATGTCCTCTCCAAAGGGCCATGTGGTGACAGCCTGATCCCCACACTGTGTTACAGGGAGTTGGGGGGCCTTCATGGCGCACCTGACTCGGGACTTTTAGGTCAACTTGAAGGGGACTGCAGGGCCCCAGGTCCTCTTCCCTCTCAGGATACTGGCCACTAGGTGGACAGTTTTGCTGGACCACACTCTCCCTGCACTGCCACCCAGGACCCCTGATGGAGGGTGAACAGAAATATGTTCATTGGTGCACTGACGGAACTTCTAAAGCCAGAGTCAAAATAATGCTCTTCTCTCCCTAAGTTGATTATCTCAGGTATTATCACAGTGACAGAAGCTAGCACACAGAGCCTGGGGTTGTGAGCCCTGCACCCTCAGTCCAACTCTCCCATTTACCATCAGGAACAATATCTTTATTCATAACATAGTGAAATAACTCAGATGCACATGCTAAATACTGCATACTTTCTCATACAAGAAACTCAAGGGCCGAGGAAATGGCTCAGTAGAATAAGTGTTTCTCTGGCAAGTGCAAGGGTCTGAGTTCAATCCCTGGTTCTGAAAAAAAAAAAGAAAGAAAGAAAGATAGAAAGAAAGAAAGAAAGAAAGAAAGAAAGAAAGAAAGAAAGAAAGTCAAAATATGGGGCTGGGGAGATAGCTCAGCAGCATAAGTGCCTGCCTGGCAAATGCAGGGTCCTGAGTTCGATCCCTTGTACTGAAGGGGGAGAGAGAGAGAGAGAGAGAGAGAGAGAGAGAGAGAGAGAGAGAGAGAGAGAGAGAGAGAGAGAGAGAGAGAGAGAGAGAGAGAGAGAGAGAATAAAGAGCAAACTAAAAGATAATAGGAAGTAGGGAGATCTTTTTCAAATGGGAAGGGGATCAAGTGATAGGAGGGAAAAAAAATGGAAAAAATAAACTGGAAAGAAATAAAGCTTTGGTAAATGGGAAGGGAACCAAGAGTTGGAAGGAGCAAGGAGGCGTAGCAGGGGTAGGAAACAGAAAAGGAATGAGGATGTGTTATTCCTGTCTACCAACTCCCCACGATAAATGCAATCACTATGTACACAGATGTGTACTAATCCCTGGGTGTGGTGGGGAACCCTGGTGATCCTAGCATTGGGGAGACTGAGGCAGGGGGATTGCTGCAAATTCGAGGCCAGTCTGGGATACATAGTGAAACCCTGTCTCAAAACAAAACAAAACACCCAAATGTTCTAACATGTACTAATAAAAATAATTTTAAAATATCTTTATTCCACAGGACTCCCAGCTATGGACCTATGGTTCTACCTTGTCTCTGTTGCATGACACCAAAGTTTAGACAATATAGTAAATCATTTAAAATAACAACAACAACCAAAAAAAAAAAAAAAAAAGATGGGGGCTTGGGATGTAGCTCAGTGACACAGTACCTGCCTGGGAAGCGTGAGGCCCAGAGTTCAATTCCTGGTACCAAAGGGGGGAAAAAGATGTGAAGCACTCTGTTGTTACCTCACCCCCTCATATTTTCAAAAAGCTTAGAAGTCTTGCATTTTAGAGAATTTACTCAACATGTACCTTACCTTTTCTGTTTCTTCATTCTTCTAAATGCACTTGGAATTTATGTAACTTGAAATTTGATCACCACTCTTTGTGAGGTAATGCACATTACATTTCTCAGGATTAAAGCTATACATTTCTGAGTTCGCCTCCACTTTTAAACAGGTGGATGAAGGAAAGGGGAGGTAAGGAGAATGAAGATGGCTTCTGTCGATGCACAATAACCATAATCACTATGCACTGCACATGTATACTTTATTTTATTTTATTTTTTTGCGGAACTAGGGATTGAACTCAGGTCCTTGCGCTTGCCAGGGAAGCACTTATTCCACTGAGCCATCTCCCCGGCCCCTACCGCACACATATACTAATAAAAATAAAAATTAAATAGAAAAAAAGACCCAGCCTACTTCCTCCCCCAAATAGAAAATATAGTAAGTGAACTCACAAATACTTATCTCCTTCCCGTTTTTCAAATTCATATCTTACTATATGGGGGCACAGAAAGGCCCTAGGGACGAGGATGACCAAGGTGACACAGTAACCGTGGAGCTGACTGCTCCCCTGCTATCCCATGGAAACTGACAGAAAGACGCCCAGCATCCAACATGGGTGTTGGGGTGAAGAACTGAGTGACAGGAGAGGGGTGGGAAAGAGGGCGAAGGGCTGGCTCTGTAAACATAATTAGTGTAATCAGGGAGTCCTCCTTCTTCCTGAAGTCACACCCAGCTTGAAATCTACACTATCGCTGCTTTTTCCAGCCAAACAGGTTCACAGCTCCAGTGTCTGTATTCTCAGTGATTAATATTTTGTTGTCTCCTTCTGAGGTACAGCAGGCCATCCAGGACCTGCCTCAGGAAACCCACCTGCATTGTTTAGGGCACTCATTACCCAATAGTTGACACGTCCTTACCATGCCAGATTTGTGCTGTCTCCACCGTGCGACGACCCTTGGTCACTCAGCCATCATCAGCCTCAGCCAATGTGTGGAAACACCCACTGGCTTCCAAAGTATTTGTCACTATGATGGCCAGGAACCTGGGCTAAGCCCAGTAGATTTCTGACTGTGCTTCAATGACATGCAGATTAAAATGGAGAATTTCAAATCAGAGGTCAAAGGTTTCCCATTATACCTTCATATTTTACTTTTATACGAGGAATATATTCATCTTTTCCTTGATTCCCTGGCTCCTCAGAGCAGTAAAGGTCATTGTTAGTTCATGAGCAATTGGTTTCTTCCTTTTCTACTTTTAAAAATTACTTATCTATTTGGTACAGGGTCTTACTATGCAGCTCGAACTTGTAGCGCTTGTCCTGTCTCAGCCTCCTCAGTGCTGGGATTACGGGAATGTGCCACCACACCCAGTTTCAGTGGCCAGCTCAGTGTAGGGCTCAGCATGGCATGTGGTACCGGAGTTCGAACCTGGGTCCTTGCACTTGCCAGGCAGGCACTTAGACCGCTGAGGATCTCCTCAGCTTGAACAACTGGTTTCTATATCTCACTTTGTGACTAGTAGATAATATCAGATGAAAGAGAAAAGCCAGAGTTTTGGGTTCAAGATTTCCCATTAAGTTGTTTTTGATGCTGGTTTTTGAACCCTGGGCCCCAAGCATGCTGTGCCCTTATGCTGTACCCTTGCCCTGCCCAGTAACTCTTGGTAGCATCTAAATATTGTTCAGGTTTACACGATTGGGACAGGGCCTATTAAATTCTAGCCGGAGTCCAACTCATTCACATCCAGTAGTGTTGGCCTGGAAGACCCACCACAGATCATGGTTTCTTACTTGAGTAGGTGGTTGTGTTGAACTTTTTCTGGTATTGTTCTCTGAGTAGCAATGTCTCCTGGAAAAGCCACTCCGAGTGCAGCCTTTTTGCCACCTTCAAAGGGAGGGACCTGGATTTACAAAAATCTGCAAGTGGAAGAGGGAACTTAGAGAATCTGCTTTCACAAGAACATGGTTGAAATCCTGTACAGGTATCTGATTAGATATTATATCACTAAAGCAGAAGTTTCTAGTTGTCAGTAGGACAGCATGTGCAAAGCTTGCTTACTAACCACATAAGAAAAAGTCAAAGAGTAAGTTTCAAAGAAAGATTAAACATCCACTGGACAGAGCATGAGACAGGACTTCTGGTTATTAAACACTTCGAGAGGCTCCTGGGAGGCTTGAAATGACCAGGAACCTAATGAAGAATGCACAATCCAGTTTTGGTACAGTTTCTTTTCAAAATACACAGGCATTTGTTATGCAGAGGCCATATATGCTTAGTGGGATTTCCTCTTGCTATAATGAAGATAGGACACAATTTTCTTGGTGGTACTGGGGTTTGATCCAAGAGCCTTAGCTCTGAGCTACACCCTCAGTGCTTTCATTTACTTATTTATTCATAATTTTTAAAAAATATATTTGGTACAAGGTCTCACTACACAGCTGGGACTCGTAATGATCTTCCTGTTTTCAGCCTCCCCAGTGCTGAGATGACAGGTTGTGCCACCACACCCGTTCTGTTTTTATTCATAATTTTGAAACACGGTCTCACTGTCCCAAAGTTGCCCAGGCTGGGCTCAAAATTGCAACTCTCTTGCCTCAGCCTCCCGGACTACCACAAGCACTACCACATCCAGCCTTTTGTTTCTGAGACAAGATCTTGCTATGTTCTTCAGCCTGGCTTACAACTCCAAGTGCTCTGCCTCAGCCTCTCAGGTGCTGCAGGTATAAAAGAGGTCCTGCTCTGCCGAGGTGGTTACTGACGTCTTTCTCTTTTAACTTGGAACCATGCAAACTTCCTGGTCCCCCACACATGACTGGAAAACCACCGCCACCCTGCCTGGCAGCCTGCACTTCTTCCTCAGAAGACAGCAGGGCTGGCCTGGGGGCCACGACTTCCTTTCTGGAAAGCTGCATACTGTGACTGCTCAACCCGTGTCTCCAAGGATGGTTCACAGGAACTTGGACTATCCCAGCTGGGACAACTGCTGAGCAGGCACAGTTTTCTGCCTGGACCTATTAGCCCTTGGGAGCACAGCTGACGCGCAGGGCCGAGTCTAAGCAGACTTATTCAAAGACAAGCCTTCTACCTTTCTGTATTTTTTTCCTGTAGAATTCTCTGCCAATTTTGGCCTATATTTGATAACTGTTAAGAACATCCTTCCTGAAAAAAGTTAATAGAAGGGATATATGATATACAGAATAATTACTCATTAATATGAATATTATAATTCAATGAGGTATGTAATATATATAGTAATTGTTGAGAAAATGATTTAACCTCCATTTGATGTCTCATAGCACATCAAGTGCATCCTGTAAAGATACAGGACACAACTTCCTGGCTCCCCGTGGCGGATTCTTAGGAGGGCCAGACCTGCGATGTCAGACTCACCAGACACGCTTGCTTATGTCAGAATGTGAGGTTGGACGGAGCCCAGAGAACCAAATATTCAAACTCTCCCCGGATGATGTAGAGGGCAAGGATGTCTGAGAAACATCTTATAGCTAATCAAGTCTTAGAACCACCCTAGAGGCAGAGTGCCACACACTGCCTCATGAAACCTTCCCCTAAGTCTTATCTGCTTCAGTCTGTGTGCCTGTGGCTGAAAAGATCCCTGAGCCTGATGTCTTCCTACTCACTTGCTTCCTCCACCAGTTTCTCCTTGGCTGTGACCCTGCTCTATTTATAGGGCAGGCGGCTGTTGCTTCTGCCCTGTACACCTTGCCTGGGAGGTAAATACTAGGAGTAACCTGCTCCCGGATTCTTTCTTGACTGGCTGCTGTCTCCACTCAACTATGGAGCCCTTAATTTGTTGTTAGGTGTCAACAATAACACATTTCTGAAGTATTCTCATGATAGATAAAAGTTAATAAAAATATATCATCTTTAAAAAGTTTCACCTTGATTGATTTCAGATTGCCAGCAACTCCTCTCTTCAAAGGTTGGTTCTTTCTTAGGGTCAAAAATGAGAAAGTCTGTCTTGGTGCCACCAAATCTCAAGTATGCAGGAGCCAAACCTCTGGCCAAAGTCCGAAGCCTGGAAGAACTGTTATGAACACAGGAAGGAATTTTTGTAATTTTTCCAAAGTAATTCAGCCAAGCATTTTTACTTCCTTCTCCCTCGGAGGACCTACTTCTTAACTGCCAGCAGTTACTTTGCCTGAGAACTTTGGAAAGAGGTGGATAAATTCAAACTATTTTTATGCCTGGAAGGAACAGGTCCAGTCCTTGGTTGGAAGTTGAGGGGGACTCAAAGTTACTCTTGGAAAGCACCTTTCAGGATGGTAGCACCACTTGCTGATATGAGGAATGGGTGTAAACTGGAGGTAGAGCTGAAGGAGGGAGGGGCACAGGGGTTCAGTTTTGTACAATTTGAGATCCTAATGGACTACTGACACCAAATTTCCACCAGACCCTTGGCCATGTGTGTCTGGCACTCAGGAGACACATCTAAGCTGGGAGAAGGTCGACAGTCCTCACTTGCTAGTGAAACCAGCGACTAGAACCCCTAATGCCCCTACAGCTGGCAGGAGGAACTTCCCAAGAGAGGATTGCTTTGGCCAGGTATCCATTCTGGTCCTTAGCAACTGGATGCACCAGAATGACAGAGGAGATGCACTTGGGTTTGCGTAGCTGGTACCTGTGAGCAGTTGACATTGGCAAAGAGGTCAGGGTTCTTTGGGAAATGGAAAGAAAACCAGCACTTGGAAAAGGAGCTGCAGCACCCAAAGGTGGATTGGGTTGGGTACTTGAGGACCAGTGGCTGGACTGCAGAAGTACAGGCTGGACCTTGGGGGATGCGCTCCATCGTGTGTCTCTGCTTACACCTCCATGGCATTTGCCACCTGTACCTGCTGTCCTGTGTCTCCTCAGTTTCCTATCTACCCCAGTCCTCGTCCCCAAAACAGAGACTGTGAATGTCTGGCTTTTCACCATCTCCTGGGGCCAGAGACACAGCTAGCACACAGCTGATGCTTAATAAATACCTTGAAGGAAATGAACTAGGCAGGCTGCCTGATGAAAGGGCAAAGAGTGG